TTAACGGAATCTCCCAGCTCCCCCCTTGATATATTCCTCTTTAATTACCTGTATAAAGCGGAAACCTGTCCAAAGCGGAAACGTTAAGAAAAATCCCCTCCCTTTCGAGGGTCTATACCTGTCTAAGACTGAAAATGTTTCGCCCGCTCAGCCCTGATTTGAAACAAAACTTGCAAGTTTTGTTCCGCCGGCTCTAAACTTAACGCCATGCTGCCGGGCAAGGAAGGGGAGTAGGGGTGCAACTTGAGGGTAGATGTTACTCCATCTATGTGAGCCCTATGTGATGAAGATGGTCAGGGTGGTGTGGGTGTGAAATCTCACGAGTACCAGTGAAAGTGTTTGAGTCACGCTCCGGCACGGAAAGTTTCATTGGCAGCCACAGGCCAGAGGTGTGAAATTAGTTTGACCAATGCCTGATGCCCTGATCGCACAGCCAGCCAAGAAAAGAGTTCCTCAAATCGTTGTTTCAAGGCAGTGAGGGGTGGCATTGGTTGACTGTGCTGTTACACCAATGGGTGGGGCTAAGGGTGAAAGCAAAGATTTTCAAACGTTTCTGTTTTTAATAGGTCAAACAGCGATCCTATGAAATGCAGGCACCGGTGATAATTGGATGAGTAAGACTGACGCATGCCATTATCAGAGAGGATAGCACTTGAGAGGTGTTTTATTTTGAACACTGCTTTCCGATCAGACAAGCTATCCTTGATCCCACTGGCTGGGCCTTTAAATAAATCCATGGATATCTACCTAAGTAATCTTCATTCTGCTTTTCTGTCAAAAACATTGTAAATATTGGAAGAATATAATATGCAGTTATCTTAAAGTCCATATCAGCACTAAATTCGCGGACTTAAGCCCAAATATTTGTGATGGCAAATAGAAAGAAACCTGCATTATGTCCATGTCTATGAGTACGGTGTTTTCCGAGGCATTCAGGCTGATCAAAATAACTGTCCAATCAGTGGCTACGCTTCAACGCAGCCGTGATGTCACAGAGAGATGATGGCAAGCTTACATGTCTCGCGGCACGCGTTTCCCGCGTCAGGCAGTGTTTCCCTTTCAGGCTTTTTGGCCACGCGAAAAACGGGAACAACGTCGACGTAATTTTTTTCAAAATGCAATTGCTTCAAGGCTGATTTCACAAAATAGTTTCTAAGATCGAGGCCTATTATAAAAATCAGCCTGTCTGAGATGATGCAGGAGCATTCCATGGATTAATCGACCACACATTTTCAAAAACCATCTCCTCAAAGGAACCACCTCGAAACTTTCTAATTGTTTTTAGCTCGGTGAAGACATAAAAATCTGCGGAGGCTAGATCCATCTTTCTTCTCATTGGTTACCAAATTTGGGGACCTTTGGTTAATATTTAGATGGTTCCGCACCTTCTGAATTAGGAGAGTCAGAAATCACTGTGCCATTCTAGCTGCTTTTTCGGTTTTGTTACCGACCAATCCTCTTTCTTTGATAATATCTCGACTGTTGCTGAAGATATGGGAGAAAAATTTTTTTCAGTGAAGGTATCAATTTCTCCTGCGTGTATTGATGTATGATACATAGGCCTGGCTGACGCAAAGAAAAATGCTTTAAATAAGCATGTTCTCAGTTAACCCAGGGCCCTGTCTCGCGCGAGTCTACCTCGTTTTCGCACTGCCACGCGGGGCGAGTGCCGTATTGCTATATATAATATACCCGGTATATAGGATTTCTAATATATTTAAAAGGTTAGCTTGATTGGTATATATAATGTTGAAAGGCCGCAATAAAAACCCAAAACTTACTTATACTTTTATAAAATGTTAAAAGGCCACGAAAAAAAAAATACCCAACAAAAACAAACAGATCCTACTCTGTAGACCGCAGAATCTTTATATTGGTTTGTCCAAGTGTCTAAAAGACATAATAATAAGACATTGTCAAGTAATTAAAATGAGCTCTTCCACACAATAATTTGACTATAGATGAATTAAAACTTTAGAGTGCTTAATAAGTTAATTAAAACCAAAACAGTCGAAACAAGAGGATATATGACGAGAAGGCCCATCTCTGTACTGTATCAACTACAGTCTAGCATGCACATAACATAGAGTGAACATGCACCTAGCGAAACATGCACAGCAAATCACTTTCCAGACCCTAGATCTAGATTTATTTATTTTTTACACCATGCATGTAGATCCCTTTGTATTTATTTAAATCATTGTAGGCTACATAGCGAAATTTACACACAATTAAAAAATTTCTGTGTCCTGTCAATTTTGTTATACGAATGCTAGGCTGCACTGTTTATTGTATAAGTTATATATTATAGAACTAATCTAGATCTAGAATCTAGATCTAAATCTAGATCTAGATCTAGATCTAGATCTAGATCTACCTTTTAAAAAATAACTAACATTAGACTTAGACAATCATTAGTTTAGAATCTAATCTAAATTTACAACAACAAACTCGTCAAAGTAAATAACAGATGAAAGACACCCTCACCACTTGGGATTTTTAATTTGCCAAGTTAAATCGAGGCTTTGCAGCCACTTAAGCACTTCTCTAGACAGTCCAGACATTTTCAGATTAACTAAATTATCAGTGTTGATATTTCACAACTTAGACACTGATATCAATCCTATTTGAACTCAAAGCCGGATGTAACCATAAACGTATCTCATGACAACAGCATTAGGATCGGAGTAAAATTAATTTCTTTTTCAGGTCTTCAATACAAAACTAGTCTTTGTGATTTATACTTATCAATAGAATCAAAACATTATTTTGTTTAAAGTAAAAAGAAATATTAAGTTTTTTTAAAATCCAATAGATAATTAAATTCTATATTAAGCCTGGTTCGTCTTTTTCAAAGTTGCCATGTTGGTCTAGATCTAGATGTAGATCTAGTCAATAAAGAAGTTAGCAATCAATACATTTTAAACAAAAAGTGGATCTACGAACTTTGTATTAGTCTGAGACACTCAAACAAGCTTCATCTAGATATATGATAGCAACCTTTTATTCCCTGAAAAGAATTTGTTCATCCTTACACCAAACCTGTTTAAAATTGTGCAATGTCCTTGAAATCTGGCATTGACTACTTGTACTTGTACTTTCGATTTGTAAATTACACACAAGAAATCGAAGGTCTTGCAAAGGTCTGAAGTCTGAACTGCTGGGCTGGACTCCAATATTGACAATATCTTCAAAGTTTTAATAATTTCTGTTTCTATATTCGTTTGGTTATAGTCACACCAACAGAGAAAGCTGGACGATGCCACGAACTGAGGAGTAGACAAGAACTCGACAGGGTTGGTGAGTGGTGTGTGTGTGGTAGAACCAACGTCAACGTCCGTTCAAAAACTCAAAATTCAAAAGAGAGGCCAATATATTTATTATAGAATAACAATTAACCATTTAACCCCTTCGTAACTCAGTACAGGTCAGTTCGTGCTTCACCGGGCACAATTTTGGATCCACAGGGACACATAATGCTAGGCTAGATTTAGTGGTCAGTTTCCTATAGCCTATTATTATAGTATAATATAGGGCTTTATAGGCCTATTGAATTGGTTTTTAGATCCGTTTTGTAATACTACTGAATCGTAACATAAAAATAAATTTCCCTGTAAAAAAAAATGCACTTTTTATAAGAGTACTTTCATTTCCAGACGTTTTGGTGTATGCTACAGCTAAATTTCAGCGTATTTGATTTAAATATATAGCTTTTTTTTTGTTAACACCCTTGATCAGAATTTTTCAAGGGGAAAACCACATGCCGTTAAACATAGAACGACACATCTTCCTGATTGGCTGCTAATTTTAGTAATGTGATGTCATCACTTCCTTGGATACGCACAGACTATTTTAAGAAAGCCGTCAAGGTACCGCATTAATTACATGTTTTCTCTATTTTCAGTATGTAAATAATAACGTTTCGGAATTCCTAGTACTTGGACATGATGGAAGATCGCTTAGATCTAGATGGTTGATGCTCAGAACAGTAAAATTAAGAACGCTGATGCTTGAAATTGAAACACACAGTAAACGCAAAAACAATAAACCCCACGAAAACTGCTGTAAAGACGCCGGTAAAGAATGACTCATCACTTGTCGGATAACATCAATGAACTTTTAATGATTCAACGGGGTTACAAGTGATGACGAC